GCGGCCCTTGAGGACTGGAGTTTGACTTGTGAATGACAACCTGTGAATGACAGGTTAAAGTGAAATATTGGTTGTGAATATAAGCTAATGTAAGCCAAGTTAGAAGGGAAAAATAACTTATAGAGATGAAAAGTTACAGCTGTAAAGTCCAAAGAAGTCTTTAAATTTTACTTTTGTTATTTCTCTGGAGTTACATTTAGTCTGATAGTAGCTGGTCTCTGAGTTGTCTCCTTTGCATCCTAGAAGTATTTTTATTTAAATTATTACTATTTTTTTAAGTTAAGGATAAAACACTATTTTATTAATTTATTTAATATATTTTACTTGCCTACTAATTTTTTTTCAGCTGCAGGAGTTTTACAGAATCTGAGCTGTTTTGTAGCAGAAGCAGCGTCAGTTATCAGTTGTAGCATTGTAGCTCTGGAAGAAGAAACTTTCTATCAGTTTTGTTTCTGTGCGTCTTTGCACAGATGCTTCTGAGAACAGTTCCAAAAATATACACACAGTGTGAGGCAAATAAAGTTGCCAAAACTGAAGACGGAGTCCTGTCTGATTTGTGAGTGCAACACACTCAGTTTTTGCTTACTAATTTGTGGTTCTGCATGTCAGACCTCCTCAGGAAGTGGTCTGCAGGGGTCTCATGAGAAGCAGGAAGTGTTATGACGACTAAAAGCAGCATGACACTTTTGCTGCTCTGCAGATTTATGGTTAACACATAAAAATAATCTATTAATATGAGGCCATTCATGACACTGGAATAAAGGTTGTGAATAAAAGCATAATATTAAAGATAATAATCTATCATGTGTATACTGCTAGGCAACACACAGACTATTTGTTGGGATTTATGATTGATATGGTGAAACTCCTCCTTCTCTTTCCTGTCTAAACTAAGTTAGTTGAGGGTATGGGGGGCGTGTCTAGGGGTTTGCCCAAACATTTAAAGTTTTAAACTTTGTCTTCAATTGTATTTTGACCTCTAACTGTTTAATATCCATGTCATTTATTTGATTTAAAGGAAAGAATCCCTCTCTGCCCATCCTTCCTTCCCCCCTCCCCATCTTATTCCTAATTTCTTCAGAAGCTCTTCAAAAAAAAAAAAACCCAGGTAAAGTCCTACTTTTTATTTATATTAAAGATCGGTCTTATTATTAATATATACATAATTTTCAATTTTATTTCTTAAAATATTTGTTTTTTTCAATGCCAATTCTCTTTTTACATTGTTTTATTGTTTTGTAAGAGTCAGCTGTCTCTTTTCCTGCCAGAAAAAAAACTTATTGGTTGAGTGAAAATAAACCAATACAAATCTCCAAGGGGTATACATTTAGGATTCAACTGTATTGGTTTTAATTTATCTTGCAAATAAGTGTACAATAATCTCTTTTCAGAACTGCTAAATTGTAGTGAAGCACCTCCAGTGTAAAAACTATCAGATTATTATGATGGGGAAACAAGTTAGAGCTTTAATGATTCAACTTTTTTTCTTAAAACCTTAAAAGAGCAACCTTAAAATTATGAACACTGTAAGGGTAAAATGTTGAGATTTCAGCCTGCTTGTTTATTTTATGTTGGACTCTTAGATCGTGCATTCAAATGACATAAATGGGAATAATAAATGAACAATAATAGGAAATGAAAAATCTGCATTTACTGTGTCTCTGCAGGACTAAATGCTAAAGGCGGCAATGATGACAACGTGGATATTCCTGCTTGTTCTGTTTGGAGCTTCTGTCTCAACTGCAAAGGTAATGAGACAAACAGGAGATTTGTGAGTTTCTTGATTCAGACATAATGGTAAAGAAATGTTTAACATCCGTCTTGTTGTCTTCTGGCAGTATTACAGATTCCTGGCTGACACTCCTCTCCCACTGGACATGGCTCCGAACTCTGTCGATGACATGTACGAAGGCTGCGCAAACAACATGGCGACCAAAGTAAAGACCGAGTTCTTGGTCAGCGAGAAAAAGATGAGCAAAAATTTTAGCCTGGCTTGGGATGAAGCGGAGAAACAGTATAATAAGAAATGGAAGCCCAAGCCTGGGAAGAAAAGATCCCGAGTCCTGGAGAAAGAACAGAACATGGCCGTCTATGCTTACACTCTGGACAAACCAGAGGTATTCACTGAATTCAACAGTGCGGTGCGAACGCAGGGGCCTCAGTACACGAGCACGTTTCAGTATCACTCATTGCACTTCTTCCTGACGGGCGCTGTCAGAGCTCTCAACGCTCATAAGCCAAAGACAGAAAGATGCCTTACCGGTTACCGGAGAGTCAACAGAAAATTCAAGCTGGGCATTCTCGGCAAAGAAATCCGCTTTGACACTTTCACCTCCAGCTCGATGGGGAAGTATCCCCGCAAAGAAAAATTTGGCTATGAGACCTGTTTTGAGATTTACACCTGCTTAGGAGCAGACATCTCACTGTACTCCAAGTTTGGAGAATCAGAAAGAGAAGTCCTGGTTCCTCCATATGAAATCTTTAAAGTTACAGGCATAAAGCAGAGATCTGAGGAGAAGGACCTTCCATGTAAAATCGTGTTGAAACTGAAGAGCACAGAAAAGACTCTGTCCAACCTAAACTGTGCGTTTTTCACGGATAATTGATCCAAATAAATCTTTAAAAATAATTTCCAATTTTAGCAGCACATAAGAGCAGATTAGATTTATTTTGAGATGGATTGTCTTCTTCTTTTTATTATTATTAATCAAAAAACATTTTTTTAAATTCAGATAAAAGATAATACATGCATAGTTTCACCATTGTAAACATAAAGACCATTTAATGAAATCAGGCCAAACATAGCTTTAGATGTATTTTTGCTTTTAACTGATGTTTAAAAATGTAAAAAAAAAAAAGAAAAGAAACTATGCCAAATGAGCACATTTGATTGTAAACTTAAAAGTATCTGTATACATCTACTATTCTTCACATCCTCTTGTAAAATGACTCATTGTATCATTTGGCACAAATAAATCTGGTTGTGTCTGACTGAATTTATGTTGTTTTAGTTTAGAGCTGCTTGTTTGTGGACTGTTGGACGATTGGGCTGAAGGGTTTTAAGGTCTTTTAGAGGGCAGACATATTTGGAGCGCCTTGTTTTCTTGTTTTGTGGTTGTGCATGTCTAACCCTATCAGGATGTGGTCTGTGCAAGTTTTCAGCTCACAATTACATTGGAACAAGCAAAGTTGTTCAGTATACAAAGGTTCTGGTTCAGGTTGATTCAAGTCCCAAAGCACAATTAATGTTTTCTTTTTACTTTTTAAGAAGAAAAAGTTAAAATGTAAGTCCAGATGTGACAGGAAGAGTATCATCAGTCAACAGTTGTTACTGATTCTTCTCCAGAAGATCACATTTTTATTGTTTCGTTTTTACAGTGGGAGGTTACCAAATAAATACTTGATGGCACTGTCGTTCCATTATGTTTTAGGCTTGTTGGTCAGGTCTGTTGTAGTCAATAAAATAGGCCTTAAAAGACAATAATATTGCATTTTTTGTTTGTTTTTCCCCAGATACCTAATGTACTTATTATTACCTTTATTTTTATGTTTCCTATCCACACAGTTTGATTCAGGATGCTGCTTTTGCCTAATGATTTCATTGTGAAGAAACTCCAGTTTTAATATAAGAACTATTTCAATAAAGTTAATATGGTGTAATTCAACTGATTTGCAAATTTTTATATATTTTTTTACTCTATAAACATACTCGTAATAGGTAAATACATGTGTAAAAGACAGATCGGCTGTCTTTGATAAATGCTTTGTTAATAATTGACCATCTTAATGAAAGTGAGCATTATCATGGTTATTTCATGCCTGTATATCAACAGTGCTAACAAAATGGGATATTTGGGGAGGTGTTTGTAATTTAAAATGTGTTGTTGCCTAAATTATTGCTGCAGTGAATATTTAACCTGTTAGCAGTTGGTATGCAAGTTGTAAAAATGTGGCAGTGTAAAAAAATGAGAAAAGATATTCTTTCATATGGATATTTAATCGTTATCCTCGACAGACCAGTGTTGCTTTGAATCATGTATCTAGGAAGAGGACTTTAGCAGAATCACAGGTGTATGGGACATTTCTCAAACACAGCATGAAACACCAGATTAGACGCCTAGTGACAAACATTACAGCTTCCCGTTTGTGGTTGCAAACTTTTCTCCTCTTTTGTTAACATCATGCACAAGGGTTTGGTGTAGACCACAAAAGCAGCATAAAATAATTATGACACTTGCTGCTTAACAACTTGAGTGGTTGACAAATCCAACTATAATGATTGAACAACCAATGATGTATTTGGAAACTTAATATACACTGCTCAAAAAAAATAAAGGGAACACTCAAATAACACATCCTAGATCTGAATGAATGAAATATTCTCATTGAATACTTTGTTCTGTACAAAGTTGAATGTGCTGACAACAAAATCACACAAAAATCATCAATGGAAATCAAATTTATTAACCAATGGAGGCCTGGATTTGGAGCCACACACAAAATTAAAGTGAAATGTTCCCTTTATTTTTTTGAGCAGTATATATCCTTCTATACTCGTTTGCACCTCCTTCCTACCTACCACCTTCACCATAGACTTTTTTTTACCCTTTTCCCATAATTACTCACCTACTCCATCGTTATACCCATCCCTACCTCTTTTAACCTATATTCCCTTTTCAATCATCTTCATCCTTTATCCCAACCTCTTTATTCCTCCGTATCTACATCCTTCATCCCCATCTCCTTTTTTCCTTATTCATACCTCTTTCATCCTATGTTGTATCTTCCTTATCTCTACCTTCTTGACCCATACAGATTTTATCCTTATCCCGCATCCCTGCCTCATTTTTCTTCTGTTCCTCACACCCACATCCAAAATTCCCTTTCCTTCGTCTCATTCATCTTTGTCCCTCATTCCTACTACCTTTCCTTTCCCCTGTCCATATGCTGTTCCACCTTCATCCTTTCTCCCTACGTCATTCACTGTCTATCACTACATCTTTGTTCATCTCTGGTGAGGAGGAAACTGATGTCCTGGGACAGAACCCCAAAGCTAGATATGAAGAGTCAAACTGCTGCGATCCACAGCCATAGGCCTTCCCATGGAAGTCCGACACTCCTATCATGGACCAAGCACCCACACGAACAGCACCCCATCAAAAAGTGTTAGTCCCCCATTTCAATGACCCCCATGTCATCCTCACACCTCCAATAAGCATTTGAGCAGCAAAGGTGCTGAGGTGGCACACCAAGCCCTCCTCTGTCCCAGATCGGTGTTTCCATGTGTGTTTGTGGTATTATGAAAACTTGTGATGAATGCAGATGTTTTTTTCTAAAGTGTATTAAAACTGGAGTTGTGGCTGGGCTGTGCAAGACTCAACTTCCCGACCGCAAGCTCTATGTGTGTTAAAATTGAGGTCCAGAACTTGGCCAAACATAGCAACGTGAATAGAGGTAAGGCTGCACAGCACTCTGTCCATGCCTGCAAGGTCCTTCACCCCCCAACCTGACCAAAGTGTGGTGTTGTGTTTGTTAAAGAGGAGGGGGTAAATGCTAAGGTTCTTGGGGGCTGGCATGCCAACTTCACCTCTCTAGTCCCACACATGTCCACATATATACCGTACTGACTGAGGCCAGAAACTTCACAGAGATCCCCAAAGGTGCCAGGAGGGAGAGCAGTTGCCAGGACCTCAGCCACTATGGGGATGCCAGAAGCCTCCAAACCCTGTACCTATAGTCCATCCAGGCTTACCCGTCCCACAGCCCTCTGCCCCAACATGGGCAGGCGAAGCATCAAAACAGCCAGATGCTGAACTCATCGCCAACATTTCAAAACTAGATTCCTTGTTCATGACATGAACAGGTCTTTGGAAAAGCAGAAGTTTATGGGAAGACAAGAAACATAAAGGTATGATGTGGCACTTTCTATTGACCGGCTGTGAAAGGTTGACAAGCATACACTGTTTGAACTAATAATAAGATTGATTTGATAATAAAGGATTATCGTTTCAAGCATAAAGTAAATATTCACATTTACAGTCCCTTTTATGTAAAACTTGAAATTAGGAAACAGTTTCCAGAATAAAACTACTTTTATAAAAGGGACATAAAATATTTGAAGAGCACATTAGTTTGTGTTACAATCATAAACTTTGTGTTCACTTTCCTTTTCCATTTGATCAGGATACAAACTTTACGCTTCATTCAGTTTAGATAAGAAAGGAAAACACAAAATACAGTCAGCCTAGATTTCACTGCATTTTCAGAGGATCGTCTTATGCACTAGCACCATCTGCTGGTATATACATGAATAACAAATGAAAAAAAAAAAGGAAAAAAAAAAAATATAAATATATTTAAATATTTATTTATATATTTTTTTTTTTTTTTTTTTTTTACTTCCTTTTTTTTT